GGCCTACGACGACCTGCGACCTACGACGACTAGCGACCTACGACGACGAGCGACCTACGACGACTAGGAGTGCCTCGCTTTATAGGTACGCGGAGCCGCCTATAAGCACATATTACAACCTACCTTAACCTCTACACTTGAAAAGCAAAAAACACTATACGCTCTATACTTACCTTCGCTACGACAATTCTCGCTCTAGTATTAACTATTTCGGCAACGACTTACGGAGGAGTTTAATATAACTATAGAAACCTCGCTATATACAAGGGTAAAAAAGCGGACAGATGTATAGCACTTGCAGTTCTATCCTATATAATCGATACTTTAGGTTAAGACTGTAAAGTAGAATGCCCTAGTTTATATTTTACCTATGCCTATAGGGTGTATAGGCAAGTAGCGTATCGTATTTGCGAATTGTTAACTAGTTGCTAATATAAGATATAGTAGTTCGGATAACAAAGATTGTATTTGTATATAGAAGCCTACTAGCTAGTATTTATAGCGGACTACTACCCGTTATAGCAACGACTGCTATTCTAGTCTTATTAGGGTTGTATGCAAGTTAATACGTCGACTAGAGTAAGAGCTATTACTAGGCTTACGGTATCGACTAGCGTAGGAAGGCAGATAGTAGCGTAAAGGAATACTTAATTTGTTCTACGTAGAGTTTATAAGGCTTTAATATAACAATAACAACAATATTGTTATTATTAATAATAATAATAGCTTCGACGAGAGCTTCGGATAGCCCGAAACAAGGGGATTAGCTTATATACGTAATTAGCTTGCTAGGTAAGCATAGCGACGGATATAACAGTTCCTATCTATTATAGTATCGGAGTAATAGAGAATCGATAGTCCGCGTTTAATAGCTAGTACTCTAATACGTACAGTGCTTTTTCTTTTTAAAGTAGATCGGACTCGTACGTCTCCCGGGGGCAGTAATACTTTTTACTTCCTCCGAGAACTGTATTAAAGCTGCTTTTACCTATTCGGCGTACGAGTAAGGACTATCTTATACTCGGCAGATAAGTTCCTAGGCCTACCTCTATAGGTAGCCTATTATTAGAAATTCCTATTATTAGAAATCCCTATTATTAGAAATCCCTATTATTAGAAATCTAGACATAGTAGATAGTTGATTAGTGCTACGATAAACTAAGGCAGTAACGTAGAAATTAGCGTTAGTGCGGATTTCTAGAATGTATACTAATTCGATACTTATTTGTCTGCTCTTATTTAATCGAGAGAAAATTCGAACCCTATTTGTAGCTAACTATCGCAGATTCCGACACTAATCTAGCCTTTACTGCAATTTTTACGCGTCTAAAGCGAACTTCGACATTCTTTTAAAGTTGTAGGATGTTATTATATCCTGTTCGCGAAAGAAGCGTATATAAGAAGAAAATTGAGCTAAATCTAGTCGTATAGCTAATACTACTTAACCTAAAGCTTAGCATAATTGACCTACTTATATATATCCGTATACCGAGAAGCTCTCGTAATTAGAAAAGTTAATAATTAGCCCTATACCTATAGAATATAGCGACTCGTAGCAAATGCCGTAAAACTAGGGCTAAAGACGCTACTAAGAAAGCCGGATTAACCTGCCCTAGGAGATACTAAGTCTATATATACGACGGCGGTCTTAGTATATATAGCGTCTATACGCATCGGAGGGCTATCTCTTAGCGGATTCGCTAATTTTACGCCCCTTGCTAGGTTATACGCTTTGCCTAATAAAACTTAGTAAGTAGGGATGCCGAGAGCTAATCGTAGTAGGTAGCTAGAACCTTAGTCGACTATTAGGTCGATTAGTAACGCTTAGGGTTAAGAACGAGGCATAACTAGAAGCCGTATAGAAGGCGCTAATACCGTATAGAAGGCTTAAGTTAAGTAGACTATAGATAACAAAGTAGACTCTATCTAATTACTAACGAGTGTGTCCGCTATTAGCATTAATAACTACTTAGTAGCGCTCTAGCATACTGTTAACCTATACTCTTATCTGCTAAGTCGTAATCTTATTATATTCTTCGAGGATTGCGAGTGCTAGCTTACGGCTAACTAGCCTGTCTCTACGCCGTTTAATAGCTTCTTTTATAACGCGCTAGAGGTTCTTAATAGGGTTCAAATCGGGTAAAGAAGGAGGCTAGATTATACGGACAATGCGGTAAAGATTAAGTGCCGTTATAGTGTAAGCCGCTCGGTATAAGGAAGCGTTATCTTGCTAGAATAAGGCAAATTCGAGGTACTGTGCCCTCGTATAGTAAAGGCTCGAGTTGTCGCGAATAAGGGTATTTAAGCGGTCTATTTCTTTGCGCACTTTAGGTACAATACGTTAAGAATAACTAGCGGCATTAATATTGCCCTAATCTAATGTATTCTATAGAATAAGAGGTCCTTTACCGGCACGGCTACTAATACAGGCCTAGATTATCTAATAAGGTAGACGTTAGAAGCGCGGCCTCGAATACACGTCTCAGTTGCGCTTACTAACTATTCGAGTAACGAAGAGCCGTTTATGTAATCTATTACGTATAGTACACTTGTTAGACTATAGAACGTTAGCCTAGTTATTAATAGTCTAGTAACAGTGTAATTGTGCCTATTCTAGCCTCTTAAGTTGTATTAGGTTGCTATAGAAGGGGCGAGGGCGTACTATATAGCGTCGGAAGCTAAATCGACGGCAAATTCGAGACACAGTTCTCGGGTAGCAAGGCAGGTTTAGAGTGTCCCTTATCTACCTAAAAGTTATCCGTCTCGTAGTAGCATTTTATATAACGAAGCTAATAATAGCTCTCTCTTGCTAGGTCGTAAAGATCGTCCGTCGCCGGCGTAGTACGTTAATAAGAATTAGGCTTCTCGAGTATAGATTATCGCCCGAATTAGGTACGAGATCTAGATCTTCTTACGGTCGATAGCGATACACTCTTAGAGTCTGCTCTTTACGATATATATTGTAAATAGTCTTGTAGGCTCTCTTTAACTATTTAGTAATGCGAGAAACCGACTATCCTACCGCTTAGTAGAGGTGTTTAATAGCGTAGCGAAGTTTATATAGTAAGACGACTCTCCGATAGATTTAGTATTCTAGGCTCTCTTAGGTAGCGATTTCGTACGACGGAAGCTTATACTAGGTCCTAAACAAGAGCGTACGCAGTAATAGAAGTAATAGCTATCTAGTAGGTCGATTAGCGAGTAGTAGAAAGCGCTAGAGTATTTATTATATCGATTAAGAGAGTAATTTAAACCCGGAAGATTAAGAAGAAAGTCTAGTAGTTGCCTCTTCTAGACTAGTAGCTTTACTAGTAAGTGCGGATAGTTCCTAGCGAGCTAGTAAGATCGATTAAATACGGGGTATAACGTCGATTCTCGGTGTTCTTAGCGTTAGACTTTTAGGCTTAGAATCGCTAGAATTAAGGTCTATAACCTTAATAGGTAGATTATATCGCTATAACGCTTCTTATTAATTAAGCACTTGCTACTAAGACTTATTATAATTAGGCGGACGATTATATACTAGTAGTAGAAGGCTTAGTATACGATCGCGATAGTAGAAGTATAGAAGACCGCCGTAACGCAACCTAGCGGGTCTAGCTAACGCTACGCCTACCCTTATCGCCCTTACTACGACTTCGTGTTCTTCTTATTCTTCTATACTTAACTAAGGCAACCGACGGATAGATGCGTCTATAGTACGCGCGGTATAAGCGACGGTATTATTAAAAGTCGAAGGACTAGTAGAAATAGGTTAAGAAGAGCCTATAGCGGCCGTAGAGCTAGAAAGACGAGGTAATAGCATTCGAAGGCCTATAGGGGTCGATTATCGCTAGAACGTAGGCGAGGATATAATACTAGATATAGGACTTCCCCTTATCGATCTGCCTACCTTAGAAGCTAGGTCTCGAAGTATAACTATTAAGTTACGCTCTCGCTAGCTACTATCGAGTCGATTAAGTAAGAACGGCCTTTCTAGCGTACTAATACCCTCCTATTTAGCTAGAGGTCTAAATATCTCTAGAAGATTAGTATATCGTTAATCTCGAAGAGGCCTAGCGCTACGAGTATAGATATAGCCTAAACAACCCTTTCTACGACTATACTAAGCATAATACGCGTTAGAGTAAGTATACGGTATTGCGGAGGAACGAGAGAGTAACTAACTATTTAATAGGTATAGAAACGCTAATAAAACTATCTATTTATCGACTACTACTCCTCCGCGCCCTTTCTATAATTATACTCGAGTTCCCTCTCTAGTAGGGCTAGCGACTTTAATCTAGTATAGACCTACCCCTAATTAATTAATAAAAACCTCTCTCGTAGTTTAGAAGTGCTTCTTCTTCCTTTTATTTACCTATAGATACTACGTATTATATAATATATTATGAATCTATAGAAAGATAGTTGTCTTAAAGCCTAGTTAGGTAGTTTTAGTGACATACGTAATGCTAATCGGCCTCTTCCGGTAGTCGGGTATACCTCTGAATTAGGAATGCGATAACCAGGGTTACACTCGGTCCGCAATTAGAGCCTGTCTACGCCTACTTTGTATAGCAAAGCGCTTCTCGCGTAAAGGAGCCGTAGCGCTGAAAATCGCGCCGCGGAAGAGTGTGTAGCCTTCCGATGCGTGCAGATGCTGTATGGAGGTATCGATGATCTGCCGCATTCTTGTACGACAATACTTCAGCTACTTATAAGGACCTGCAGTGTCTCATCATTGAGAGATTTTCCATTGAAAAAGCCGATATCAGAAGAGCGCATCGTAGGCGACAAATTCCAGAACTAATACCTGGAGGAACATAGAGAAATCAGAAGCCACAGTCCTGGAAAATTGTGGAGATACTTCCAGCTTCCAGATATATGAAGACAACCCCAAGATTCGGCGGCGTTTGCTACGAAAAATTGACCTGCACGTGCTCCTACCGCTATGGATCCTCCTCTTCCTATCCTTTCTCGATCGTATCAATCTGGGCAACGTTGCAGTCCTAGGAATTATGGAAGACCTGGATTTGACAGGCAACGCATTTAATATCGCTCTTCAAGTCTTCTTCATACCATTCGTTCTGCTAGAAGTGCCGAGCAACATTGTGCTGCGCAAAGTACGGCCATCGCTGTGGCTCTGCTCTTTATGCTTCTTTTGGGGGATTGCTTGCCTTTGCCAAGGTTTTGTGAAGAGCAATGGCAGTCTCATCACATGTCGTGTCTTGGTCGGAGTCTTCGAAGCTGGATTTACGCCAGGATCTTACTACCTGATGTCGATGTATTATCGCAGATATGAGCTCCAGCGAAGGGTCTCGATCTACTGGTGTGCGGGCGTGTTCTCGGCAAGCTTTGGAGGACTTCTAGCTTATGCGCTTGCGCAGATGGACGGTATGGGAGGGCTGGCGGGCTGGCGGTAAGTGGGCCGATCTTGACTTGGTATTGGACGGACAGTAACTTTGGATAGATGGGTCATGATCATGGAAGGTCTGCTCACCGTGGTTATAGTGCCTCTTGTCTATCTCGCACTCGCGGACTGGCCTGAGCAGGCAACTTTCCTCACATCAAGCGAGAAGCAGCATATCCACTGGAGAATGGCGCAAGACATCCCGACGACAGCCAGAATGGATCGTTTGGATAGACAAGCGTGGTTGCGCATTTTGAAGGACTGGAAGCTGTGGCTCTGGGGCATCATGTACGTGGGTATCGGCGTCTGCATCTATGCAACGGCATTGTTCCTTCCCAGCATCCTCTTCAGCCTAGGGTACAGCGGGATTCAGGCCAATGTGCGCACCATTCCCATATGGCTGGTTGCCGGTGTGGTCACAATCGTCGTTGGTTTCGGATCAGACTGGACGAAGCACCGGTGTGGCTTCATGGTGCTGAGCGCAATGGTGGCCCTGGTCGGACTCGTGATCCTCTTCTGCCAGGGCGACACGCCTACACCACTTGTACCAGATGCAGGCCTGGATGTCGGTGTCCGCTACATGGCGTGTTTCTTCATCGCAGCCGGCACGTATGCAATCAACCCGCCCCTGATAAGCTGGACGAGCTCGAGTTTTGCAGGCCACTACAAACGTGCCATCGGCATCTTTCTCATTGGCATCTGGCAACTCTGCTGGTTTCATATCCAGCAACATTTTCGTTCGCAGCGAGGCGCCGAGGTACTTCGTTGGCTACGGCGTGTGCATTGGGGCAATGTCACTCCAGATCGTAGCCACGGGTATGTTCGCGTTGGGCCTGCTTTGGGAGAATCGGGAGCGCGATCGCGGCGAGAGGGATGATAGAAGGCTGTTGCCGGAGAGGGAAGCACAGAATCTTGGTGACGATGAGCCAAGCTACAGATTCACGCTGTAGATCGAGACCAGCAGCACATCCAGTGGTATATCCAGTAGCATGTCCAGGATGTAGTCCGTAGAACCTAGTCCAGCGGTCCCAGAAATCCCCCTGCCAAGCAAAATCCTCCACCTCCACCTCCACCTTCTCTCTCCTCACGACAAGCAATGAGTCTACAATGTTCCATTCGTCACATCAAACTCGATGCATATCAGCAGCAACAGTGCTCACCCACGAACGAGACCCAACCATACATTGCACGCCTCAGCACGTACCACATCGTCAACCCGACAAATGAGTAGCTAGAATACAATGTGCATAGCGAGACATCAGGGCCACTGCGCAACTCAGAGACTGTGCTGAATGAAGAAATGTCATTGATTCTATGACTTATTACTTTTGTCCTTTCATATTGACTGCAGCCTAAATGTTCTAGTAGCCTCAAAATCCCCAGCATTCGACCCATTATTCGAACGCCTACCAAATGCGTCAGAATTCATACCTCGCTCCATGCCACATCACGATTGCAAGAACGTGTCTATTTAAGAATGAATGGGACACCGAGAGCCACACCGAGACCATCGACCACAAGTCCGAGACCACTAAGAAGACCGGGTTGGTAGCCGCCGAGGCTGTAGAAGAGAGTCGACAATCCGCATCCGTATCCCAAACGACCATAAAACGGTGGGCCCCCGCAGTAGTAGACTACAGGCTTGACTGTCGAACGGCCAGTGTGAGGGTTCGGGTCGTCGTTCTTCTTATCATTAAGTTTGGACAGCTCTTCGGCTTCTTCCTTCTGGTCGCCTACTTTGAATTCGATGTGGCGGCCGGCGAAAGCTGCCTTCAGGTCTGCCTCGATGTCCTTCGCATCGCGTTCGGAGTAGATTTCGGCGAGGTCGACGTTTAATTCGACAGAGGAGCGGTCTTTGACTGCCTCAAGAATCTTGTCGTAGTCCTGGGCTTTGATAGCATCTGCCAAGGCGTTGCCGTCGTGGATTTGACAGCCTCGTCGCGCTAGCGGAATGATAGAGTCGGAGGATGAGACCGGTGAGGGTACAGCAAGGCTGAGGCCTGCTGTGGCGAGAATTGCAGCGAAGTACTTGAGTTGCATGTTCGCTGTGGCTGTGTATTGACAGGCTGATGTATGATATGTAGTGAGCACCGCCTGACGGGGCCTTGGATGAGAAGGGTGTGTTCGGAAGAGGAAGAACTTGATCTTGTCGATCCAGTGGCTTGCTTCTCGTGGTGGCGAGCGGTCTGCCTCTCTTCGAGCGGAGAACTTCCTTCACTTTATAGCATCGTCTAGCATCGAGATGCTGGCAGCCATCATCTAACATTAGCGTTTTATCGAGCATCCATCGCGGGCTGAAATTCCCAGGCAGTCCGCTTGTGCCTGTGTAGAGCTGGTTGTGATGAAACGCTTGGTCAAAGATCAAATTTACAGTTCTACCGTGCCCCTGCCGAACTTCAGGAACCAGAGAAGCATGATAGGCAGAACCGAAAAGAGGTTTGATATGCTACCAGGAGTGTTTCTATCTTTGATCAAACCAACAATGGCGCACAAGGTATCAAGCTTTTTTTGGCGAATTTAAACCCTAGACTGCCTTTATTGCCGAGCCTGGTGCGGGATTACGCTTGATTTCTTTACTTTGACCGCACATGGTAGAGAGGCCCACAATGTGGTGCCATAGATGGGTGCCTCTAATGGAGAATCAATAACGAACCTGGCGAGAAAAGGCCATTGACGGGAACAACGACGAACTACCATTTGGCGAGGAAACCAAAGAAGCCGAACGAGGACTTTGCTGCATTACTAGAACCACTTATTAGTTCTACTCGACGTCCTACGATCTCCAAACCAGACCGATTGAACTCGGCCAGAAACCTAGGCCACCATTCGGAAGAAGAAAGTTCAGTCACAGGCGTGCAATTTCACGGCTGTTGGTTCTCAAGGCATGTCGACAATCTCCTTGGTCGATTCGATACTTTAGGTTGTGAATGTGAATCTGATAACGGAGTACCTGCTGTAGGTACTGTATGTACTACAGTACCTAATAGACCAAGGTTCGGAAATTATCTGGACGCCGGTCTCTCCGCCGTGTGGGCTCATCACAACCAAAGACGTTCAGTACGCTATCACCAGATTGGCAGGAGCAAGATATGTATGTCACTGAGGTATACTTCATTATCTCGAACCTTGGGACCAGGATATGAGTGACGAATGCGAAGTACTCAGGTCATCGCCGACGGCTGCCGGCCGTGCTATCTTGGGCAGCTCAATTTATTAGCGGCCTGGTTGATGAAGTACCATCAGGTGATGTGATGAACGGGCTCGAGATAATATCGCCATCTACGATCAAGAGCCGTACAGTACAGCTTTTCGTGAACATGTACATTTTTCCCCAAATCTTGGTAAGTCGCATGCCGATGACTGGAGTCTCAAACGGCAGACGCAGAGGCATCGCTGGCCGATAGAATATCGAGTCTTCATCAGCTCAGATACATACATGTAGTTAGCTCAGAGATTATTCTACGTTCAGCAATGACAATACCACATGCCTGTCCGCCATATCTCAAGATGCAGTTGCCCAAGATGGAAGTGCAATTAAACTTGAACAGAGGTGAACGACGCTCGGATAGCAATGTTGGTCAAAAATGTGCTTGTAGGCGGCTGCGCGTGCCTACTAAGTGCGAGCGAAGCTTTCGTACTCCGCAGAGCCAATAGAATGCCGTCGTCGTTATCGTGTTAATCACTTTTGCTAGCGTGGTTTGCTAGAAATGTGCTCAATCGACTAGAATACAGTTAGGCTCGAGCAAGTTAGGCTGCCTTAAGCCTTACGATAATAAGCAAGCTATTAGTACCCACTAGGCAACTTATACTAAACGGGCTTGTTATAAAGCATAGGACTAACTACATACTCGCTATAAGCGATCGCGATTATAAGCGGCTTGCCGCTTATAATCGCGATCTGTGCTTATAGCTTTATAGTAGCTAATTAGAGTAAAAGTCTGTATTTAATCTTCTAAGCAGTTTAAACTATAACATTTCTATAGTTTTATAAACAAGCGATTAATCAATTAACTAGCTATTAATCTTATTCTAACTATATTATCCCGTTTATCTTATTCTGTCTATCTTATCCTATCCTATCTATACTATTGCTTAATGCGACAATTACCTATTATCTACTACTAAAGTCTTCCTCTTCCTCGTTACTATTATAGAAGTCCTATAAGCCTATTAATATATCTAGATTGTTTAAGGGTTGTGCGGCTAGTATACGGCCGTACTAGCGTCGGAATGCCTCTAGAGCGGCCTTACGCGCTATTTCCTCTTCTACTTCTCGTATATTACGTATACGATCGAGAGATTCTTAGCGGTCCTCTTTAATCTAAGTATGCCTATCCTAAAGGCCTTGTTAGAAGGCAGCCGAGAAGTCGTTAGGCTATAGGAGCTGCTTTGTCTAGATCTAACGTAGTTAAAGCTAGACCTTATTATCGATACTATCGTAGATAATACGGAGATATCGACGGCGGAGATCTATATAATACTTATCTAGGTTCTGCGTCTTCCGTAATAGTGTCTTACCTTCGAGAGAGAAGATAAGATATTAGATAGCAAGCGGGCTATAGCTATAAGCATTAGGCTGCTATATTACATCGTTGTCTGCAGTTTCGACATGTGTCTAAGTGCCTAGTTATAGCTAACTAGCATGCTATACATATAGAAAGCAAGATAGCAGATCGGTAAGCGTAAGGATAAATTAACCTCTAAGAGGTCCGATAGTACGCTTACTATCGAGACCGGCTTCTGTGTTCTATATGCGTATCGTACCTATACTTAGATTGACCTCTATAGCAACTAAGTAAGAGGCTAAGTAGGATATAGTAGAGATACGGCGGGTTACTATAAAGCCTAATTGCCTAAGATATAAGAGCAGTATATTAGTATTATACTAATGCTACTGCCGAATGTTCTCGACCTAATTAGCATCCTACTATTCCTTAGAGATAACCTTATTATCGGATGTAACTAGAAAGCTAAAATACTCGATAACCCGAGTCGCTATTCGGAGCATTGCGATTGCCTCCTTCGTACTATAGTTAATCTCCTCGTACTATACCGTCTCTCGATCTTTATACATTAGCGATATAAATTAGTAACCTTAAATAGGGTAGGCGCTTAAGCGTATAATTCTATCGATGTCTTCTATAAAGTACTAGGCATTATTATAGTCCTTGTCGCCTAGTTTTAGATATAGAGCTATACGTATATAGGACTAGAATGAGATAGGAAGCACTGCCGGCTGCTTAAACGGGAACGTTATATCCGGATCGACGCTTAAAGGATGTGTACCGTAGACCCGCTCTTTGCTAAATTCTATAGCAAGATCTGCAATGTCGTATAACGGATAATTAACAGGATATTGCTATATGATTTCGAGGCACTACTTGCGACTAGTAGTAGCATCTCGCTCGGAGCGGTAAAGTGCCTCTGCTCTAAAGACCTGCTAGAAGACATATTCTACTTCTTAGTCCTTACTAAAGATACTAGAGCGATAGAGCTAAGAATAGAACGACTTAGCAAGAGCGAGAACCTTGTTAGAACGATTATCTAAGTCCTTCTTAGGAAGCGCTAGTTTAACGTACGCACGACGATAAGTATAAGTTGCTAGCTTAAGGTCGTTAAGGCCTGTTCGTACGGGTAGAGCTGCCGATAGACGTACTACCGGTAGAGCTGCTAGTAGAGCTATATACTCGACGATAGAAGTCTTACTACGGATAGAGATTGGATATTCAGCTTTAATAGGAGCTACCGGAGGATTAGCAGCTTAAAACTGTTGCTATACTTGTCGCTCTTAGTCCTACAACTAGCGAATAAACAGTTGATTGTTAATTACAGCCTATCGCTCGCGCTATACGTAGGAATGATGCTAAGCTCTAGGTAGTACTAGGCCAACTTTAGAAGCGAGAAAAACCTAGCTAGAGCCTAGAGGGTAGCCCTAGACTTCGCGCTCTAGGTTACCTAGAGCTGCTACTCTACTATCGGCAAGATCGATCTCTATCTCGTCGGAGGCAGGAAGGTCTACGCTAACTAAAAGCGCTATAGCTGCTACGGCCGGTGCATCGGATACTAGATCTAACTAATTGTGCCGAATATTAGGTATAGGAGTTATGCCTAGCATATTAAGAATAGTATCTAAAAAGCCGCTAAAGTCGAATATGCGAGAGCTTAGTACTAGTAATATAGCAGGCTTAGGTAGAACCTAGTTGCGACGTCGCTCTTTATCTATAGCCCGCATTCGAGGTATAGCACCCTTAGTTAGCTCCTTTGCAAGCTAATCATAATCGAATGCGCCCTCGATTATAAGTCTATAATAATCTTTAATACGAGAGAAGGCGATATATGTTAGTCTAGAAGAGAACTCTAGGCTAGTCTTAATTACCGCCTTGTTAAGTGTTATACCCTAAGCTTTATACACTATTAATGCATATAAGACAGTAACAGGAAATTGTAGACGCTAATTACTCTTACTGCTATCGATAGTACGCTAAACACGGAAGATTAGGACAACCTTGCGGTTGTTAGTTCTAAAGAGCTCCGGAGCATTGTCTTTAAGCCTATCAAATGCGACTAAGAGGTATAGAGGTAGCTCTTCGCGAAGGTTCTTTCCTACCGCATCCTAGGCCTATACGATATCGTATAGAATGCCTTAACGACTATTAACAAGGCCAAACTCAGTCTATAAGTTAGTAAGAAGCATTAACTTACAACCGATACTAATCTTTAACTTACTCTCTAGATTATAGACTAGCTTCGAGCTAACCGAGGCGACTTCCGGGCAGTTGTAAGAGGCAGACACTAGAAGAATAGCATTTCCAATATTACGGAGGCGCTAATAGTTTAACTTATTAACGTCGGCATTCGTAAAGTAGAGCCGAGTAGCATCGTTAAAGGAGGTAACCTCGGCAATATCGAGATTGGAACTAGACCGCTTAATAAGAGTCTGCTAGTAGTCCTTACTAAATCGACTAACGCGTAGTGCGGCAAGTGCGTTACGGAAAGCGACTTAACTAGGGTCGGCGCCTTCTTATCGTATATTAGCTTTAAGGACTAGAGTCTATGTAAAAGCGTAGTACATAGCTTGTACTAAGATGCTCTTAATTCCCTTAGGCCGACTCTAGAATAGTAGTTGTGCGAATACCGGGGCAAGCTAATAGAAATCACTAAACATAATAATAGACATGCCTCCGAACGGAAGATCCTAGTTAGGAGGGAAGATTTAGCGTAGGCGTGTATTAAGGAAATGCAGAAGCTTAAGTCCGATTATAGACTTCTTATCGATAATAAGGTACTACATATACCGGAGTTGGTTTTGTATATATATTAGGCGTATACCTTAAAGCTTATTAAGAGAGCCTCGTATAGGAAGCTTAAAAGCCGAATGCATTGTTAAGCTATTAATATTGCTCGCCGTAGTGCTAGTTAGAGCGGCACGTATAATAGGATTGCCCTAGTAGTTAGTAGCCTTTACGTTGCTCTAAAGTCGCGTATAGAGCATTTAAATTAGGAATGATTTGCTAGTACCGCCCGCGCTATCGACATTAAGAAGAAGCTAAGCTAGCGTAGTATCGATAGTCCTATCTCGATAGCGGAGAAGGTAATCAAAGTAATTAACTACTATATCGAAGCCCTAGCGCTAGTATCGGTTAAGCTGCTCGAACTATACTATAGACTAAGATTGAACCTCTATCTCTACCGTGCTATAAGCTCGCTTCTTAACTTGCTACTAGTCCTCGGAAGTGTCGTAGATCTCTAGGTATGTGTCGCTGTATTTGCTAATTCGTAACTCCTAATATATAGCTCTATTAACATTACGATCGCTAAGATTGTTCGGGTCTTCGTCTTAAATGCTAGGGTTCTATAAAGGTCTATAGAGTGTATCGAAGTTAGCAGGTTCTCTAAGGTTCTAAAGCTCCGGATTTATAAACTAATCGTCGTCCTCGCGGTTAATATCTTAGAGGTAATTATTAGGATATCGCGAGTGCCTATACTCGTCGATATAATGCTAATAGCAGTACTATAAAGTAGCTACCTAAGATATAAACTATATATCGGGCTTATTAGGGAACGAGTATAGTGCTTTATCGGAGTACTATAGCAATTCGCGGAATAGATAGTATGCCTAGATCTTTATACGCTAATAGTTAATAAAGCTAGGCTTCGTAGGATCGGACGTGTACCGCGGGAAGTAATTAAGTAGGCGGCGATCTCGAGCTATATTCCGAAGCTTACGAGGCTCTCTAGCGATTTGTAGGTTCCACTTAGTAAGATACTTAAACAGGCTCTCTTACTTAGCTAACTCGGGGCGTTGTATATACTTCTAGATAGAAGTCCGAGGTAGTACTCGTATCTACGGTCGCGGTTAGCCTTCCTCGTCTAGTTCCCTAGCGTTATCGGCTATAGGATCTTTATTATCGATCTAGACTACTACAGTCTGCTCTGTCGGTAGCCGACAATCTATATTAATTACGGTCCGGCTGCCTTTCTATAAGGGAAGATGCAAATTGAGGTAAGCAACTTGCTAAGCAGACTAGTCCCGCTTAGTAATTAGGATGTTAAGAAGCTTGGCTACTATCGATAGAAGAGGCTTGTTATAATTAATAAGCGGAAGTAGGCCTTTTATAATGTCGTCGTAGGACCGACTCTTGACTTCTATCTTACTGCAGTACTTCAAGATATAGTTTATTATAGCGTAAAGAGTAGTGTAGGGTATAATATCGCAATTCGCACGCTAGGCTATCGACATTAAGCGATTATAGTAATTGAGGAACGAGTCGTTATAGGCTGCTATAAAGCCGAGATACCGATTGTTGTATTTATAATTAATATTAGCCTCGCTACGGTGCTTTCGTAGGAAGTGGAACCGATAGCATAGCTCCCTATTTGGATCGTCCTTACGCTTAGCCTAGTAGTAGTCGCTATGTACATAGTATTATATACGATTAATAATATTAGCGAGGTCTTCTTAGATATTTATTAGCTTACTAGTGCTAGACTAGATAGTCGCTCCTTATCCGAGGTCGCGGCCTAGTTCGGGATTTAGGGCAGTGATGTATATGCCCTATTGCCGCGCGAATACTTAACGACTATCTAGAGTCGACATTTTATACGTCGGAAGACCGCACTAGAGGAAGAAGTGTATATAACAGCTTCTACGGCTCTGCTACTCGAATCGATACTAGTAATCTGTTATATTAAACTTCGGCTTCATTACTTTCTTAAGTAGCTACTAGAAGCGTCGGACAATGTAGGCATCCGTAATATATAGGTATTTACGAAGGTTCTCGCGTACTATCTTAATACGCTCGAGTAGTCTAAGCTGCTTCTACCGAGAATATCTAGGCATTAGGCGTACGAGTGAGTCCTATTACAAATTAGCAGCGCTAATAGTATAGAACAATGCCGGCTTTCTAAGCGTACGTATATACGTCTCTAGGTTAATACGTCGACCGTTCTAATAAGGACGAGTGCTACGTATTTAGCTACCTACCTTAACAATCGAGTTGAGCAACTTCTAGGCCTCTTTGTCTTTAGGATCGGCCGCGAGTGCAGCTTCTATCGTCTCTATAGTAACTTCTGTACCGTTATTCTAAAAACGGTTTGCGAAGAAGGCGGTAGCGTTAAGTACTTAGTAACGTATACTCTTATTAAATACGAAGTATAGCTAGCGCTTATAAGATGCGAATCGGTTGTCCTAATAGCGCATATAGTAATTAATAGCATCCTTATACGATACAGTCCTAGGGCGCGGCTAGTTAGGATCTCCCTTGCCCTATAGAAGCAATATCGGAAAAGCTATTGCTATAAGTAGGTATAAGCGATCAAGCTTATTAATCGGGATCTTAGAATAATCCGGCTAGGTAATGTATAACAATTGCAGAGGCTGCTAGGGACCTTCTTCGGGTGCGTTACTATATCGGTTGCGGAGACGGTCTCGTAGTTGCTCTATAGTATAGTACTAAGGGTGCAAATTAGGAATAGCGGCGTGCTCGTAGCCTAGGTTCTTATCTGTATCTAGAACACTAGCGCCCTAAGTAGGACCTTAATCGATACGTTAAGGTAGTGCTTCTACTATAGGAGCAGGAGTAGGAGCGACAACAGCTAGCTAAGCGTAGATATAGTCGATATAATTATCGCGATTACATATACTACTATTATCGAATTGCTAGATAGGTACGAGTTACGGTCCGTTTTAACTACTAATATATAAGAACTAGGCGCGAGTACTAATATAATCGCTAACAATATAGTATCGCTACTCTCTATCCTAATCGTTGTTAAGAGTACCTGTTTCGCAATACTAACACTCTATAGTATTTTAACTACGAGCTGCATTTAGCCGAGGGTAGTAGCACCCGTCGCATATAAAGTACTTCTAAGTAGGCGCTAGGGCAGATAGATAATTATTCGTAGGTACTATAGTCTCGATATACTCTATAGACTCGAGCTGCTCCTTAATCGTATTATCGTCTAGCAGCTACGACAAAGCTAGCTAATCGATAGCAATCTCGCGATAGTATCGGTTATTCGCCTTAAGCTAGTTAAGTATATTAAGAACCTTCGAACGTCGGATACGGAAGTCTTGTTAGAACTAACGCCGCTTTCGCTATTTATCTTTAGCGGCGGCGGCGGCAGTAGTCTCTGTCTCTGCTACCTACGTTTGTGCTTAGTCTTAAATAGGCTACTTTAGACGAAGGACGACTAGGTCGAGCTCTTTTAGAATACGCGGAAGCTTGTAGTAGACAGTAACAACGTCCTTTAAGAAGTTGTAGATATAGCCGCGATATTGCTACTACTGCCTACGTACGTAGAAAACAGATATCTGTATATAAACGCGGGCAATTAGCAACTCTTCCGCTATAGTAAGGCCTGTAAGTTCCTTAGGTATACGGCTAGGATCTATATTGTTGCTATTACTAAACAGGAATGGGTCCTTAGGTTCAATATTCCTATCTCGATTAATATATCTACTATAGACTCTATTGTTTTAAGCAATGTATATACTAAACTATCGCTCCGAGCAACAACTACAGGTTTTAAGCGTGTCCTCGTCGATTGCCCGACAGAAATCGTACATTAATTGCTTATCTTTAATATCTAGTATATTAGTTACGGCTTGCTAATTAATTAGAGCGAGAGCTGGTTCCTAATAAGTAAGGAAACGCTCTCGTCGATCTTGTAGTACTCTGTCGGCGCGAGAAAATGCGTTACGGGGTACGCGAGTGCCCTACTAAGCTTCGGAAGATATAGAGTGCTACGTACTATCGAGTAGCGGCAAGTTAGATAGCGTCGAGCCTAGAAGGAAACTACTACCGTTAGATAGCGTCGAGCCTAGAAGGAAACTGCTGCTACTACCTATACCTGCTTATATACGCTAGCTTCCTAGACCGCCCTAACCTAGTATAGTAGGACTACGACCTAAGCTAATAGTAAACCTAGGGAAGTGCTGCAAGCAAGCGGTCTTTAGTTCGGAAAGCGGTAGGCGCTAGAAGCTAAAACGATTGCTGTTATGCTTTCTATCGATATACTACTTATTCTTAGTAATAGGATCCTCGTCGAGAAGGTAACTATTATACTAGAAGCACTAATCTTGCTAGTTCTCGCTTTGATCTTCTTATAGCCGCGGATGTCTACATTCGACGTATATAAACTAAGGCTGTACTTCGTGCTAACCTTTAATCTATTAAGTTTGATATGTAGATGCCTATTACTAAGTCGGACCCTCTCCTTTAGCCTAACGAGCAGAGCGTGCCTCGTATCGTAACTGTCGACTAGCAACTATAGCTATATACTAAGCATGCGACGTCTATAAGCTAGGCTAGCTTAAAGGATAGTAGGGACGCGGTAGTAGCGCTATAGGCGTAGCACTTATTCTAAGAGTAGCTAGAGCAGGCCTAGCTAGTATAATTAGTACAATTAGTCGAGTTCTAATTGCAGGCGCAAGACTACGTAGTAGACGAGATAATATATCTACGGCGGAGGGTCTACTCGCTACCGTAGCTGTCCGCTTTGCAATCTTAGTAATCTGCTAGTTACTATAGTTGTTCTTACTAACGACTATGCTACGATAAGTAGCGCATCTCTTAACTAGAGGGCTACCCTTCTTTCTAGCGTTAAGGAACTAGATCGTATCCTTAACTTGTGCGCAACCTATACACTTTAATATAGGCGCCTAAGTGCGATCGGCCGGAAAGGGCGGGTTTAGTTCCTACTAACTAGACGGCGGCGGTTGTAGAGAAGGATTAGGCTGCTAAGCTAGCGGTAGCGGTATATCTCTAAATCTACTAAGTCGCATTGCCTAGAGCCGACTACTACCTATAAATCGTAGTAGGTCTAGTATAGCGATACGGGCAATAGGTATAGTATCCTCTATACTACTAAGCGCCGAGTCGGCGAAGATAGCATAGTATACGTAGTTATTCGTATGTTTATAGTTATACTCGAGGCTATAATCTATCTTATATTCTTTATTTCTAGGCTAGATCTTAGCCTAATCTATTTCATTCTTAATACTATTAAGCAGCGCATCCTAGCGGCGATACTACTTAGAGACGAAGGTCCGACTAAAGTTACTTATACGTCGAGGGCGGCGGGTATACTGTCGGAGAATATCGCGAATAGACTAGCGACGATATATACGGAGGCGGCGGACAATACTACTCTTAGACTTGCCCTCGGTCTGCTTCTAGCTCTATCGCGTAAAGCATCGAATAGAATACTTAATACGGCGGTCGTAATCGAAGATGCGCTTGTCGTCTACAAAGTAGCTATTCGACGATAGACGCGGCTTTAAGCACATGTTGTCGGCTTATATAGTAGTATCGAGTATACTTAGGTATCGGTATACTTAAATCGGTATGCTTGAATCGGTGTACTTAAATCGCAATATATAGCTATTCTCTAACTAATAGCTTAGTAGACAGAGTGTAGTATATAGAAGCATAGAAAGCGTAGATATACGGAAGGTTAGATATATAGATATAGGAAGGCGGAAGTAGGTTTAAAGAAGGAAGTAATCGCGAGTAGAAGGGACAAGGTAACGCAAGAACCTGCCTTAGGTACCTAATAGTTTTCATATTACTAGTAAATAGACCCATTTACGTTGCTATTGCTCCTACTGTTTCGTTTGCCTATATACGGGTCCGCTCGGTAACTAGTATCTACCTATAGGTCGTTCGCATTACCCCTTATAATACTATAATCGTATAGCTTGAAGCCTATATATAGTTAGTACCTATATGCCTTTGCTAACGTTGTCGCTTAGAGGCTAGGGGGATAGTCGTTCCTCCTAAACCCCCTATAGCCTTACCGCTTTAGTACCTATATACCTTTCTTAACGTTAGCGCTTAGAGGGAGGGGGATAGTCGTTCCTCCTAAACCCCCTCCCTTACTGCGTAGAGTGTTCCTCCCTTTACTAACGTTAGCGCTTAGGGCAGGGGGGAATAGTCGCCGTAGGCTCCTTCTATACCCCCTATACCTACTGCGCGGAGTGCTCCTCTCTTTGCTAGCGTTAGCGCTTAGAGGGAGGGGATAAACCCTATCCCTTACCGCGCGGAGTGTTCCTACCTTTGCTAACGTTAGCGCTTAGGGCAGGGGGGAATAGTCGTCGCAGGCTCCTCCTATACCCCCTATACCTACCGCGCGGAGTGCTCCTCTCTTTGCTAGCGTTAGCGCTTAGAGGGAGGGGATAAACCTCTTCCCTTACCGCGCGGAGTGTTCCTACCTTTACTAACGTTAGCGCTTAGGGTAGAGGGGAATAGTCGTCGTAGGCTCCTCCTATACCCCCTATACCTACCGCGTAGAGTGTTCCTCCTTTGCCGACGTTAGGCTTAGTACTCCTTAATCGCCTACGTTATTTATCTTATATATCGTATATATAGTACTTAGCGTACGAAGTTATATTAGCCTAAGGCTGCCGTCGTTATCGTATTAATTACTTTTGCTAGCGTAGTTTACCGGAAATGTGCTTAATCGACTTAACTCGGTCGGCTTCGGTTTAGTCTGAAATTAATCGACTAAAGTTAGGCTAAGGACTGCTTATTTATTAAAAGAATCAATTATGCTTCTAGTACGTAGATTAAACGCTTAATCTATAGCATTGTCTAAACCTTACCTCGCTACCTAACCGCCTTTTACGCTTCCAACTGCGCTACTATAACGCTAGCGATAGTAAAGGGATATTAGTATATAAGAATGGCAGCCGTGCGTCTAATTACAATACGAGCGCGTCCTTCTACTACAATAGTCGGGCGTAAGAGGTATTATAGCACTGCCCCCGCTTTAAGTATATTAGGTTCGAGTTCTTTGCGTCTACTCTAGAATAAACAGACCTAGCCCCCTCTTCTTCTTAGACGTACGCAGATTACATAATCTATCTAAACTAAGCTAGGGTGCCGAGTCGTGATTTTAGCAGGTTTCTTAAACCGCCGTAAGCCGATCTTTATTGTCGAGGTTTCTTCGTAAGGTCTTATAGTTGCTTTAGCTATTAATTAAATAGGTTTAGTAGCCTTAGATATCTAATTAAAAAACTTAGTTCGTCTAGTTTCTATAGATATACTGCGGTATAAGGGGAGTAAGCGCAATAGGTATATTTACTTAGTTGACTTGTAATATGTCTCGAAGGGCTAGGTATAACAATATTTAACCGCTATAAAGCCCTAGCCGATTCGCTCTATAGTTTTGCTCTAGTATTATCCTTCTCTTTTACTGCCTATATCCCTTTTGCTACCCTTTAATCTTTCTCTTTTGCTACCTATAGTCCTGCCTATTCTGCTTCTCTTTCTGTTTCTTACTGCATCGTATTACGTAGTACGTAGCGCGTATAAATTGCGCCGTCTAGTTATATCGTATTACGCGGTACGTAGCGCGTATATATCGTGCTTTAGAGCGGGTATTGTAGGCGTATAGTATTGCTATTATTAGCGCGTAGTTTGTCCTTTGTTATTGTTATATTATCTAGAAGTCGCGTAAAAGTTAATGCCTAAGGGTAACTGTGTAGAATTCAGCTAATCAGACAATCGTATTCTAGAATCCGGGGAGTTACGTAGTAGCTAAACAGCATATTAAACTACTAGCGAGCGAGACTGCTATAGTAGTGCGAGCTTCGCTCGCAATAAGTTGCGGATTTTCAAAGTTATACTACGGTATACCTTATAGATAGCAGTAGACTATTAGTAGACTATTTTGTAACGTCGGTTAGTACGGGCCTTACGATAGCTAGGTAAAGAGGCTCTTAAGGGTCTCTTAATGCCTACTAATATCCGCCTAGAGTCTTAGGCCTTAAATACCTCGCGCTGTCTTATTAATAAGACAGACTCCGGATTTATAAAGTATATACAAAGTAGGTAGGTCCGCGATAAGACGGATTAAATACCTTTTAGATAGAAAGGGGCGAAAAGACGGCTATCTTTTCGATCGATCGCTTAAAAAGTCGCCTATCTTTCGAAAGACAGCCTAAAGCGAGTCGTGCTATCTTTTATAAGACAAGCTTCGGTAAGATAGATTTTTCTAAAAGCTGTCTTATAAAAAGATAGTGTCTTATTAATAATTCAAACTAAGGTATTCAAGGCCTTAGAAATGGTCTATAGTAGAAATTCGAGCATACCAATGTAAACACTTTAGTCTACGAGCTTAATAGAGTTTGTGGCTCGTGGTTCTCCATCCCTACGCTCGGAGCACGGGTTCATTATTCAGAGCCTCTCCGCCGTCTCATGTTCATCGGAATGCTCTCTGTCTCTGGAGTAACTTAGGCTTTCCCGCGATGGTGGGTCTCACTACTCATCACACTACTGTCAGCGAAAGATCGTCTTGCTTCCTTTGAATTCGCGCTGGCAAAGGAGGACGTGATGAGGTTGGAGAACATCAGAAGCCACCAAAAATTTCATTCCATTCTTTCGCCTGAGATCCTTCGTACGACCGGCGCGGCTGGGACATTCATCAGGCTTGCCGGCCGCAAGCTTTTCCAGCACACCATCCCTTTAATCTCCTCCTCTCTACAGCAAGTGGTCGCTGCGTCGCCGCCAAGCTCCCATCCAGAGTCTTTTTGCTTTTCTCGGACTGAGAAGAGCGTGACGATTTTATACTGTCGGCGATACTGGTTGCTCAGAAGCCGCGCTGAAGCGGAGTCAAGTCATACCGGCGCTATACCGTGCTGGAGGAGGTTATACTGTGGTAAATGAGATTGTATAGTCACTATAGTGTAGTTTAGTGATGCTGTGGTGAGACGGAGAGATGGGAAGCTTGAGAGCAAGAGTCAAACAGTGGTACGTGTTTGCTGCACAATGTCATTTGCCAGGCGTTTGTTTCTGTATGCAACGATGCCCTCAAACTTTCCAGAATGCCATGGTTTGGGGATGAACAGCCTAGTCTGCCATCGAACGATCCATCATTGGCAATAATGAAGCCTCTCAACCTCAAGGAAACCCAATGCGAAACCCTCTGGGATCGAAGCGATCTGGGTCTTGGACCTTGGCATTCAAGGCATTGGCTTTTCTGTAACGCGATTCTGCATGTGTAAGATTCTCGAACTCCCTGCCGCCTGCGGGCCTGGGGTTGAGCTCGCCATTCAGCTCTCGTGCCCTCCGGAAGAAAGTGTCCGCTGCATGTGTGGCTCTCGTTCTCTCGCAAAAGACACCGCGGTCGCTGGCACTGAAATCCAACTTTTTATTGCTTCGTCCCAGCTTAGAGACGTTCAGACGGGCAGCATCCAGCTTCTTGGCCGACTCATTTGCATAGTCACCACTATGGACGCAATCAGCGTACAGGTTCAGCGTGATGGTAATAATGATATGCGTAGTTGATTTCGTCGTATCGAGGGTGTAAGTGCAAGTATGTGTCTTCTCTCTCATGCAAAGTGGTATCATGATCATCGAAGAGGAGGAAAAAGAGATATCCTAGACCAGATCCAGGTAGATAAAATCCGGGAAGATCAGGCAGTAATTACCAAGCGTCTTCGCCACCGCCGTCATCTCCGCCATCGTCATCGACTCCATCGCCGTCGTCGAAGTACTTCTCTGCATTGTAGTCGTTGCCCAGATCATCATCGTCTTCGGAGAAGTCGTCGTCCTCGGGGATGTCGATGCCATCTTCGTCACCTTCTTCGTTCTCATCGGCATCGTCGTCATCATCCTTGTCAGCGGCAGCGGTCTCGTCGTCAGCGCCTTCATCGAACTGAGCAAGCTTGTCGACGCGCTTCTTCTTGATTTGAGTCATTTGCTTTTGTACGCGGTTCTGGCGGACTTCCTCTTCCTCGTCATCGCTAGGGGCCAGGTCTTTCAGCTCATCTGGGAGAAACTCCCGAACTGTTGACGAGTCAGTAAAATACGGCATCTCGATGTCTCAGGTGGCGCATACGCATGACAGTGTTCTTCAGATTTGGCAGACCAGTCGTGCGCTTTTGGCGCTTGCTGCTGAAAGTCGCTTGATCCTCAAAGGCATTGAAATCGGCTGGATTGCGCTTGCCAGTCTGTGGGTTGTCGATGAAGAATGAGCCGTCACGCCTCTCCTTTCTGAGGGTGCGATAATCTCGGACACGCTGTCTCTCCCAAGGAGTTGGTGGTGGCGGTGGGCGAACTTTCATGTCCTGCCATTGACGTTAGCAGACCGAGAAAGCACTTTGAGAACGACAAGATCATCGTGCCATATGGCCACATACCGGGTAGAGCGTCTTCAACCAGTCCTCATCATCGACCTGGTCGGCGCGGTACTGAGCGATTTGGTTTTCGAGATCGGCGTCAACTTCGAATGGCAGGTCTTTGCCGCCCATGCGACCGGCACCACCTGGACCACGCGACATGTTGGCGGTCGTCGCACTGGCCGTGTGTGGTGGTGATGATGTCTTGGTGGAATGGTGAAGTTGATGGAAGTGGAATTTATCGAGTCGCAACTATGATTTCGTAGCGCAAACCTTGATTTTGGTCGAGCCTGAGGCCACAAGTCCTTTCTTGGCAAGCATGTGACGCGATGAGAAGACCACTTGCGAAGCAGAATGCTAGCATACAATTGTATTCTAATCTATACAGTGGCGTGTCTTAATGCTTGAGCTGAGTAGCCGCGGCATCCCAAAGCCATTCTCCGTCGCTATGCACTCCGAAGCGCGAATATCCACACATAAATGCCCAGTCCTGATGCGCAACACTGCCGCCATCAAGACTGAGTCCTTGAAAGGCAGCCGCAGTATGATAGCCAAGCTAGGATCTATCGTTGCGGACTTCCTTTCTCATTCCCCAACCCTCAGGGACCCAGTCCTCCCTTTCTGACCGCCGCCCGTTCGCATCCAACAATGTCACAAGTCCCTTGGCAAGAATTTCTCTAACCGGGTCGTGTGCCAGACCTCTGCCAGTTTGTTCGGATAAAGAGCGGAAAGCTCTATTCAACATCCTGTCCTTAGCTTTCCTGAACTCCAAGACCAATTGCAACGCGTGTGCGCCGTGACCCAAGGTCTTGAAAGGCAGCCAGTCATCCATCATCAATTCCTGGAAGTTTCTCCTTGCTTCCAAGCGCCCGCCAAAGAGAAGAGCAGCTAGAGGCGGAACGAGGGTGGTGTCGCGCATGAACAACGTATTGCCGCTGACGTTGCGAGCGAGGGTTGTGAAAGCGTAGACTTGATCCTCAGCCGGCGCAGAAGGCCTGCCTTGAATCGCATTCAAGGAGCTCGGGTGCATCATAACTTTATCTTCGGAGGCTGTGCGATGCAGGGGACCCCTTACATTCGTACCTCTGACGCCTATGTTGGGATAGACTCCTGCCAGTAGTAAACATTTGACCAGATCTATGTTGCCCGAGTTCCGATTCAGCGCCCTGCCTCCGAATTCATGGCTCTCCGCAGTCATGTACGATGGCACGTTCAGCAAACCTGCATCGACCAAATTCTGCTCGATCAGTTTTGCAGTCTGGTGAATCGCGCGGAACGCACCGAAATGTAGGAAACGTTCCTGAGCTCGGCTGAATGCTGCAGCTTGTCCATGGCGGTTCAAATAATGTCGCAACTCTTGAAAGCCCTTCAAGGCAGCAATGTGGTCTGAATCGGCCACGTTCAGATCCTCTCTCGCTCGTTTGGCTCGCACTCGTTCAGCCATCGGAGTCACGAACAGCGACCTCTCAGTACCCATTGAGCTAATGATAATCATGGGATCAAGACAGCGGAAGATGATACCCAGCAAGACCATTTTCCCCAATGCGGGATGAACAGGGAGTTTGGAAAGCACAGCGCCCAGAGCAGTCAAGCTCTCATCAGACGTCAGAGCTTCGATTGCTTTCAGATTCTCCAGGGCGACTTCTACGGCGTTGGAAGGCGGTGGCTCGATAGCCGCAGCAAGAAAGCTTGAGACTGATTCTTGAAAGCCCTGAGCCTTGATGGACAAGCACGTCTCCTGCAGGTCGGCGCGAAGCAACTCCGGCAGCCCAGAGGCTGACATGGCTTTCCTCCGCTCGAGGGAGTAGAGGGCGTAGTAATTACCACTCGACACGCGACCGGCTCGACCGGCTCGCTGTCGAGCGTTGGAATTGCTTTCCCATACTGTCTCTAGTGATGTGATGCGCTGAATGTGGTCATAACGGTTTTCTCGAAGCTTTCCAAGGTCGATAACATGTTTGACGTCAGGAACAGTGACGCTTGTCTCGGCAATGTTCGTCGAAAGAATGATCTTGCGACATCCGATTGGACTTGGCTCGAAGATTTGCCGTTGATTTTCCACAGGAACCGTTGAATGTAGCGAGTGGATCTGAAACGCATCTGCGTTCGCGAAGTCGACATCGAAGATTGGGCTTCGCATCAACAACTCCTCAGTCGCTGTGATTTCCTGGAGGCCTGGAAGGAAAGCCAGGATGGCTCCGTCAGAGGTCGTTTTGCAGATATGTGCTATGGTAGCGACAAGGAGTGCCACAGGTACAAGCCCCTCCTCTTTCCGCACAGCTTGTGACGTGGCTTCCTCCTGATTAACGACTTGCGTTTTCTTCCAATCAATGCCCGATGGTGCAGAGCTTTCGTCGAGATCGAGTCTCGCGCGCTCAAATGCGCCCTCAGACTCAAGGTAGGCAGTCGTAGCATCTTTGTCGAAAGTGGCTAGATGCCAAAACTCTTTGGGGTGAGCTGTCAACAGTTCACCCAAGACATTACCTAGATATTTTTCTTTGACAGGGAACGTGCGACCGGGTACATCAAGGTGTGGACACGGCGCGAGCCTTCCATCGACCTGGTTCGGTAGATACGCCGAGAAGAGTTTGGTGTCCATTGTGGCCGACATCAGAATGACTTTGGGTATTTTCCGGCCCGCAGCTTGTCTGGCGCTGATTGCCTTTTTCAGCACTATGAGCAGGAAGTCGATAGAGATGTCGCGTTCGTGCACCTCGTCTATGACCAGATGCGATGTGTTGTCCATTACATCGTCAGCATCCCACTTCAGGCGCTCCAACAGCAGACCAGTGGTGCAGTAAGTGATACTGCCTCCTAATTCAGGAAGCTTCGAATCTCCTCGAACCTGATAGCCAACCGACTGTCGTAACTGTTCACCTCGCTCTGCGGCCACTCGCTGAGCCACAGAAGACGCGGCAAGACGTCGTGGCTGAGTGCAGATGATGTCGCAAGATCCTCCGTCTCCTCGCCGGATAGCGTCGTTGAGGATGATTTGAGGTACCTGTGTCGTCTTGCCTGAGCCAGTGGCGCCGACCACGATACTGTACACATGATCAGATACGAGATCAAGCACTTTGGACGAGTACTGGCTCATTGGCAATGCTGCCCTTGTCTCGCGCAGATTCACAGTGTCCGGGTCCTCCTCAAATCGCTTCAGGCGCTGTAGGAGCTGTTCGCTAGCCAGAGCTTTTGACGCTCGAACACGTTGGCGGTCTCTGGGCTTTCCGACAAGTGTCTCAACTGCGGTCAAACTCTCTCGCTCATCTGGTAGACCTGCGTCTCTGGCCTCAACAAGAGTCTGTCGCATGATATCAATGGCATCAGAATCAACCCTTGCACGCACGGCGGCATGAGTTCCAAGAGATCTAGCAAGATTGCCATGGTTCAGATCCGTGGCGAATTCGGCAAGTATATCAGGCTCTCTGTGCGCAAGGTCAATTGCAGCCGTCAAGCATGCCACCTCTTCAGCAGCTTTCTTGGACTGCATTGTAACCCATCGACCAACAGGCACGCCATCCAAAGTCAATAGACTCCTGGTACCAGTCCTACCGCCATAGCCAGTACTTTCGGTTTCGAATTCGAGGAAAGTTCGTCCCTTCCGCTTTCGGTAATATTCAATGAAGTCCCGAGCTGTTTTGGTGCTCAAAGCATGAAAGTTGCTGGGAGAGTCGAAGACCTCCCCTTGCCTGGAATGAAGCTCCTCAGCAGCGCGTTTGAAGGCGAGCAATGCGGCTACTTCAGCTTTTACGGTGGTGTCGCCATATGTGCTGACCTGGATGTTCTGCTCCGGCAGCTTGATCGAGACTTGGACGACAGACTTCGCCTTGCCCCTGGCAAATTGGCTACGTATCCTACGCTTGAATAAACGTATGTCAAACTCAGGAACAAGTCCGAATTTCGCAGCGTAGTTGTACACTTCGACCTTGCCATCCTTCTCCTGCTTTATGAGGTCTTCCTGCACATCAACGAGCTCGATGTCTTCATCCGCCGCCAATGGCTCCGGAGTATTTTCTTTTTCCAAATCAGCACGTTTCCGCTTCGCAGCCGAAGCAGAGAAGAGCTCGGATATCGCGCCATTAGCATCCAACTTGGCCAGCATTGCCACCCATGCGTCTTTCTTCGCTGTTTGTCTACTGCTACCGCGTCCAGTGCTACTCTCGTTGCAAATGCCGGGGATCCGCAGGTTGAGGGTGCAAATGAAATCGGTGTCTTCTGACGATATGGTGATCTGAGTCTCATGCGCCAAGTTCAGGGTTTGGCATCTGTTGTTGATCTCGGTTGAGATCATCGAAGCCTGAAACAACCGGGAAGTGACATGGGCGTACTGCTCCTTCTCTTTGATGCTGTTCAACAGCGGGTACTCTTGCGCTTCTGAGTTTGTGACCTCCGACTTTGCGACCTCCGACGTTGCGACCTCCGACTTTGTGGCTTCCAATTCGGCAAGAGCGCTGGTCTTTAGAGAGACCAACCGTTGCAAGACCCCTGACAAGTGACACTTGGAAAGAGCCAAAAGCCAGGCCGCAGATTCTGCCTTGGCCTTTGCTGGTCCAGCTCCAGTCACACTTAGGTGTCCATCATCAATGTGAAGTTTTAGAGAGCAGCGCCATTGGCTTTCGGTACCCAGCGAGTGAAATTCATAGTCGCAGCTATGTGTGATGCGAATGCCGGCATCAGAACACAGCTCGTACAGAGACGCTCGGGCCTGCCCGCCGGGAATCAGACTCTTCGTCAGACTTCTGGGATATCCCAAAGCTCGATGCTCCACTGCAGGCAATGTCAAATTTTGAGTGGCATAGATGTCAATCACCCCTGACTCCTCGGAGGCAGCCTCTTCCAGGAGCTCAGCAATAGAAAGATCGGGATTGGGGACCAACGCTGCGATAGAATCTGGTGCCCGACTCGCCTTCGAGGAGGGGCGATCTCGAAGCATCTGTCGAATAGCAGCCGCAGGGTCTCGCGATGCCTTCGCCAGTATGAAGCTGCGTTTGAAACTGCGCGCCGAAGCGCGATTCGTGGGTCTGGTCAGCACACGACTCTGCAAATCGGCCAAAACGGCATTTTTTTCTGCTACAGTGGCCTTCGAGTGCCGGTGCAGAGCTTCTCGTGCAGCGTCCATGATCTCGTCCCATCGTAGTCGCGAGCCATCTTCGTCCGATCCCTTCTCCGGAGGAGGCTGGAAGACCTTGTCATTCTCACTGATATGGAGAGTTGCGTATGCGCGAGCCGAAGTCTCTAAGAATGATGCTTTCTTGGATGAGAGTCCGGCTGTGAGTCGTAGCGGGCCACGAGCCGATGCAACAATGCCAGACTTGATACATCTTGACCATAATTGAACCCGAACCGCTGGAGGCAGGTTGAGTAGGTTCATTATGGAAGTCTTCCTTCAAGCGTGTACATCCAAACCTCATCGTCCTTGAGTGGGAGATGTCAGAACCCTGATCTTATCATCGAATTAGCTGTCTTTGATGGTACAAAACCGTGTGTGGATGCGACTGAGATTCTTGGATTTCAGAAACGAGGTGGCGACAAAAAAGCAGTTTCGGCCGAGAATTCGCCGCTAGCCGAAGTACAAATCTACACGTATCAAACGCGCTAGAACGCGCGGCGATGTGATAGATGGCACACACACACACACACACACACCGGCACAGAATACTGTGTACGTAGAGGAGTTCGAGGTTGATAGAACAAAATAGGATACAGGCATCTAAGCCAACTTGAGCTGGAAACCGCCACCTTTCTCTTCCGCCTCTCTGCCCTTGAATATGCTGCTGAAGTCCACCTCGCCTTGCAGGCCAGGCGCAGCACCACGAACGGGAGCATTTGGACTCGCGTGACGTCGTCTCCTCTCTTGGCCTGCCTTTGATGGGAATGTCGGAAACATCGCCGTGGGCTTCGGCCGCGGATCTTCTCTGAAGTATGCATGTTCCAGCATCTCCTTCGCAGTCGGTCGCTTCGAGGGGTCCAGGCTCAGCAGAGAGTCGAGAAGCTTGACACCAGCGTTCGTAAGATTTGAGAACTTAGAACGAATGATACTTCCTTGTGCGGTGCGGGAAGAAGGTAGTCGGAGACTCCGTGCGTTTGGTAGGCGTTTGAAACCAGGCCAGGTCTCATCGCTGGGTACACCGCAGAGCTCAAATATCTGCAGCAAAGAACGTTAACGGGGAAGGACAAGCAATAGCTATCTGTAAATTTCCAGTCGTCATGACTGGATGTTCAACTCACCTTACTCAACTGGTCGACTTCATTCTTGCCTTGCAGAAGCGGATTCCGAGTCAGTAGCTCGCCAAATATGCAACCGATGCTCCACACATCGATTGCGGCGCCGTATGTAGTAGCTCCAAGCAACAGCTCTGGGGAGCGATACCAGAGCGTGACCACAAGCTGCGTGAGATTGGACGGCGCAGGCTCGCCCACGAACCGTGCCATGCCAAAATCCGCCAGCTTGATTTCGCCGCGATTGTTCATGAGTACATTGGACGTCTTCAGATCGCGGTGCAAGATCCAGTGATCGTGTAGAAACTCCACTGCGCTGCCTAGTTGTAGCAAGAGCGTCTTGACTTCGCTCGGCATGAATGGCTCCTGCATCTCTTCTTGCAGTGTCTTCAGATCGTGTTCCAGAAAGTCCATAACGAGGTAGACGTCGCCTCTATTCTCCCGCTCGCCAGTCACCACCTCGCGCAAGTTGACAATGTGTCTATGCTTGGCGGCTTGTAGACATTGAATTTCGCGCAAAGCAGTGACTGGAAATCCTCCATCTCTTAACGGGTCGAGTTTCAGCTTCTTCAAAGCGACAATCTCACCCGTCGCCTCTTCTTTGGCTCGAAAGACGTAGCCATAGCTCCCCTCTTCGATGGCATTCAGCTTATCAAACCTCTCGACGGATCGGCATGGCTGCCAATTAGGCGCATGGAATCGTAGAAGTTCGCGCTCGGGTTCTGGTTGTGCTGGGGTAGCATCCTGTTCTTGCGATAGTCTGCGTCGTTTAAATGGCCGCTCGTTATCGTCGCCATGTCCGTTCGATCTCGCCGCTGCTGCTGCCTCTGCTGCGCGCCTTTTCTCCTCTGCCTTGCGCTGCTTCTCCTCCTTCAGTCGCTTCTTCTCCTCCTTCGCAGCTTTCCGTCTTGCATTCTCAACGGCATCCTCTTCAGTATCTGCCCAGCGCGACGACATTGTGTCTGCTTCACATCAACGATCTGACCATGCCATCGTATAATTTGCGAGGTTGATGTTGTTGTCGCGGAGGTGAGCGGAGGACGTGAGCGCAGAATGAGGCGCTTGGCGTTCACGGAAGTGAGAGCGTCATGACCTTCGACTTCTCCAGGAGTGCTTGCAACAATATTCCCTGTTCCCCTGCTAAGACCCTACTACTAGGTAAGGCTGGCGGATCATGATGAGACGCAGCGTGGTGCGTACGGCGCGTCAAGCGTTCCTTGACAGCTCGAAGACAAGGTGTTCAGCGCGTAGATTGTCTGGCGCAAGATGGAGCTCTACGGATCATGGTCACCAATGGTCGACGCCTTTGGCCAGGCAATTGGCAGCGGCAATTACGGTGCGTCAATTCTCCATTCATACGTGACTCCATTGCTAATATCCTGAAAGACCACCGGACCGCTTCCCGTAGCTTCGTTCATGCGACAAGTCTTGACCTCTGACCTGGGCGGCTACTACACTGGAGCTCTGTCTTCAGATCGAGACCAATTTGGTGCGAAAGGAGACTTTGTAACTTCTCCAGAAATCAGCCAAATCTTTGGGGAGCTGATAGGCGTTTGGGTCGTGGCGGAATGGATTGCCCAAGGGAAAAAGAGCGAGGGCGTATACCTCATGGAAGTAGGCCCAGGCAGAGGCACGCTGATGAGCGATATGCTACGTGTAAGAGCTGTTGAACATCCTAGTAGGTTCTGGCGTACTGAGATAAGTATATTCCTAGACTATCCGCAATTTTCCTCCACTTGCCAAAGCCGTCGAAGCTGTCTACCTGATCGAAGCCAGTGATACATTACGGAAAACGCAGCACGAACTGTTATGTGGCGACAACCCAATGACAGAAACCAAGCTTGGGTGGGAAAGCATCAGCCGCCATTCACCTGACCTCAAGATCGTCTGGACGGAAGACCACAAGTTCGTGCCTCGAGATGCATCGAAGACGCCTTTCATCATCGCACACGAGTTTTTCGATGCCTTACCCATCCACATCTTTCAGTCAACGTTTATACAACCTGACGAGAAGAAACAAATACAGACGCCTACTGGACCGATACAAACGAAACAGAAGACCCAGGAGGGACACCAGTGGAGAGAACTTCTCGTCTCACCAAAACCACCACACCGGCTGAAATCAGGAGAGCCGGAATTTGAGCTGTCAATGTCGAAAACGGCGACTCCTCATTCAATGTATCTGCCCGAGACATCTCCACGCTATACGGCACTGAAGACGACAGATGGCGCGACGGTAGAGGTCAGCCCCGAGAGCCAGACATACACCAGAGACATGGCTATCCGGATAGGAGGCTCAAATCCGGAAGAGATTGCAGCTCATCAACAACAGGCGACGAAGTCCAAGACTGTAATACCTGGTCGACAGGTATCTCAAGCTCCGCGCGAAACACCACTGGACAAGCCGTCACCCTCCGGAGCTGCCTTGATCATTGACTATGGGCCACCAGATCGCATTCCGGCCAATTCACTCCGCGGTATCAGGCAGCACAAGATTGTTTCGCCTTTTGACGAACCGGGCGCCACAGACGTGAGTGCAGATGTGGACTTCCTAGGTTTGGCAGAGACAGCAATCAACTCCTCTCCTGGCGTTGAAGTCCATGGTCCTGTCGATCAAGCACGCTTCTTGACAGCTATGGGCATTGAAGAGCGGGCCGCTCAACTCGTCAAGAAGGCACTGGATGACGAAAGAGCTGGGAAAGGCGGCAAGGACAAGGCTGAGCTCACAGAAACCGTGAAACGAATAGAGAGTGGATGGAGGAGGCTGGTAGATGTCAGCCCGCAAGGTATGGGTAGGCTTTATCAAGTCATGGCGATCTTGCCACACTCTCCGCCTGCACCAGGACAGCAACAGAGAAGACCGGTGGGATTTGGAGGCGATGTTCAGGCATAATGAAGAATCACTCAGCATAGCTCAATGTGCTATCGACCCATGACTGGCGGACGCGCCCTTCGCCGGCCTTACCATCACCACCAAGGCATACGTGCCATCGAGTTGCGGAATTTCATCTTTTACCACAAATCCGGCCTTCTCATATACCCTCCTCCCAGACGGCGTGGATTCTAAATAACATTCTGCTCGATCCGCGTCAACCAGCTTCAAGCCATCCAAGACGAGTTGCGAGGCGATTCCGCGCCCCTGGTGGTCAGGATGCACAGCCATTGATGCGAGAAACCAGTAATCCCTTCGATCTCCCATAACCTTCTTCCTGGCCTCTGCGAATACAGCACTGAGATGATCAAATTGCGCCAGGTTTACAAATTCTGGAATGCCGGGATAGCGCTCGGTCGTTGTGTCAAGCTGCTCTTCCGATGTTGGACCATTCCAAGCTATACTACTTGATTAGCGAGAGCTCTCCATAGGCCCGGACAGAATCACCTGAAAGCCCGACAATCTTTCCGCTCGCGGAATCCACGGCTTTGAATTGATGTCGATTAGGCGCTGCCGCACGATGCTGTCCAAGTCTCACACGCCACTCTTGAAACAGCTTCATCTGTGCTTCTGTCATGTTTGGTGGCAACCCAGACTGGTGCAGGGCATCGGTTGCGAAAGCTGCCGTTCCAATTGCGACCAATTCCTCGCCGTCATCGAAGGGCGAGGACCTTTCAATTCGGATCGGCATGGTCGCGATAGTATGGGATGAGATGTCGTTCACTGAAGCGGTGTCGCGAAATTGCGGGACTGAGAAAGAGCTTTCTCTCAACCCTCCTCCATCGGGCGAGTGGTATGTAGATATAACAATGATTCAGCTGCGGCACTCGGAGTCACGCATTCGGAGTCACGGTCACGATTTGGACCAGCTGAGCTGAGCTGCAGGACCCAAACTCCTTTTTTCCGCCGCCGAAATAAACTTCAACCTGCGACTTCGGGTTATTGTAGTTCACGAAGCAGCACAGCACAGCACAGCAACGCCTATATGAATGCATCGGCCACACTCACGAGAACAATACGTAGTTATAACGCACGAGCGGCGCTTCGTGATACTTGGATCGCTTGCATAGCGACCCACAGCACATTCTACCACGCACCAAGCTCAAAAAGCCATCTTCAGTTCAGCTTCAACAAATCCCCCTCCAGAACCTCCCGCTCCTTCCCTTCGGAAAGAAACTCCGACCTATCCCAAGTAATATACACATACCTCCTACTCAACCACCCTCTCCTAACCTTACTCAACCTAACCAAAGGGTCCGCACAAACCTCTCGAGCAAGGCGTCTGCATATGCACTCTTGTCACTGGTGCGCAGAGCCTCCTTTAACCAGACCAGGGATCGCCCTACAAGCAAATCACAAGCACGATCGATCATTGGGCTTGCTCCGTTTTGCGCTAAGGAATGTTCGTCTTGGCTGTGGATTTTCGTGCAACCTGCACCTCGCCACTTCCCGCCCGAGCCTCAGCTACTGGGAAGGAATAGGGTTGTGCCTCGCATTCCACGCACAATGTCCATAAGCTTACAACCACGGTGATCACCGTAGAGCCAATATAGGCCTGTTATGTCTACCTATTATGATGATTATATAATATATGAGTAATGGCTTGGCTCTATAACAAGGGGTTGGCTGCAAGGTTAGCTTCTAGCAAGGCACTAAATACTATACTAGTAAGGCACTAAATACTATACCCGCAAGGCATTAAATGCTAACGCGTAGAAGAATAAGGTAGACGAGTAGACAACTGTCGATTATAGAGTTTAACTGCCGTATAGAAAGTATATATAGGGACCTTATCGTCGCTAAATTTATATAGTATCCTACTTATTTAATCGACCTCTTTTATTAACTAAGAACTAACTAATCTTCTATCTCTTATCGTTATGTCTTAAACGAGTACTTCCGGCGGCTCTTAGCCTACAATCTTTAGTACTAGTATACCTTCTCGAGTTAGTAGCAATAAGCGGAAGTATATAGAAGACGAGTACTAGTAGCAAGTCGATCGTAACCGCTCGAGTAGTAAGAACTATCTATATATAACTTATTACTATTATAGTAATAGCTAGACCTCGAACGAGCGCTCTCGAGTATTTAAATACCTTACGAAGTGTCTATTATTGCCGGAGGGTCTCTAGACGAAGTATTAGTCGTACCCTACCTCCTTCTTAGGCTCTTCTTATAGACTTTATCCTACCTTCTACCTTCTACCTTCTACCTTCTACCTTCTACCTTCCTTTACCTAACCTACGTATAATTAGCGTCGATTGGTTCTCGGCTCTTCTATATATAGTCTAGTATATAGGAGAAGTCTTCGTAGAAGAGCCTAAGGACAAATATCGCAAAGCTATAGTATTAACCTTATATACCTACAAAACAGGTAGAATAGTACAACAACTATATATCCTAAGCAAAAGTCATAGTAGAATCGCACCTAGGTATTAACGTAATAAAAATTATTGTCTATATAATAATCTGTGTATTTCTAAAGACGTAGGAATAAAAATTACAAAATACTACTTTAAGACAAACGCTATACGAATGGCGTCCGGATTGCCTCTACTACGATATAACTACTACCGTTTGCTATAAACGGAAACACGGGCGGACCCTTAGAATTAGCCGCTCTCTAACCTCTAAGTGTTTGCTAGGCGTAAATGTATCGCGTTATTAAGTCCTAAGGCCGATCGGGTGAATTAGGCTAAAACGCAGCTATTCTAGGCCTATACGCTTTACTAAGTACGCGCAACTTAGCGTATACTTATCTAAATAGCAGGCTGCCGCCCTTCTTCTTCTTTTTCTTCTTCCTCTTACTCTTAGCTTCTTCCGCCTCGCATCTACTACTCGTATCTACTACTCGTATCTACTACTCGTATCTACTACTCGCATCTACTACTCGTATCTACTACTCGTATCTACTACTCGTATCTACTACTTATATCTACTACTTGTATAGATACCGAGGAAGCTATCGAGGTTCCTTAGTAGGCCTATATCGCTACTAGCGATAGCACTCCTACGCTGCGTTAAGATCTAGATAAGCCTATTATTAGCGACCGCTTCGAGGGCAATATCCGCCTCGAGGAGTAGCGCCGCTAGCGATAGATCGAGCGCTAGGCTAAAGGCTAGAGTCTTTAGCGTATAGTCTATAGATAGCGTATAGATTATCGCTAGTCGATGCGTACCGCCGCTCGCTAAGGCTCGCCGCGACTATTAATAGAGTTAAATTAGGAGGACGTCGATACTATCGAGGGCGTTAAATATAATAATCCCTCTAATCTTCCTCCTCTACGTATAGCGGCTCTAGATCTAGTCTATTATAGAGGCGGTAGCTTCCTTTAGTTAGGGAGAAACCTTAATATTAGTAAAGGCCGTCGTAAGGAACAGAAACAGAAGAAGTAGTAGCAGCAGCAGTAGTAGTATACCTAGGTTAGCAAGAAGGCAGTAGGACGTCCGGCTAAGATATACGATTAGCGTTATTAATAGTAGTAGTAGTAGCAAGGCATATAGAACACCCTACTACAAGCCGTACTAATTCTTCTATCTCGTAAGGCTTATACTCGCTAGCGGCTAAACTAGTCTACCGAGAAGCTAGAGCTTCCTTAAGATCTATAATAGAAGACCGCCTTCTTTTAGGCTACGACTAATTATATACTCGACAAGCTATTTAATCTAGAGGAAATCTAGATATTAATATAGGATGCCGGTCTTAAGCGAGAGGCTATCCCCTTCTAGCGGGACATTGTTAAGAATAGCCTATAGTAGGTACTAAATGCATTCTATCCTAATAAGGGCTATATGCCTTCGGACCTTTAGCGTAAGGTACTATACAACCTAGTTTTCGCGGGTACCGATATAGTAATAATCGAGAAGACCGGTAGCGGCAAGAGCTTAGTCTACTAGGTATATACTATGCTAACTAGTCGCATTAACATCTAGATTATCCCTCTAAACCGCCTTAGTAAAGAGTAGAAGGCTAATATCGACTAAACGATGCGTACGCTTACTTAGAAGTCTATAGTTACTACCGGAAACGTCGAGTTAGTACGTTGCTATATAATCTCTACTAAGACTAAGCGTAAGGACCTAAAGATGTACGATAATATCGTTACTAGTAAGTACTACTATATCTTCTGTAGTCTAGAGCAGGCGTCTACTCCGGAATTGCGAGAGGTATTTAAGAAGATTAGCGATCGTATTAGCCTTATTACTATCGATGAGCTATACTTAGTATATAAATAGAAGGACTTCCGCGAGGAATTTGCCTAAATATACACCCTCCGTAGCCTGTTCCGCAATGACACCCTATAGCTAGGTGCCTCTACGACTATCTCCTAGGAGACACTCGAATTTGTCTTAAAGTATAGAGGCTTCCGTAATAATAGCCGCGAAGCATTCAAGACTAAGGTTATCCGTACGAGCATCGATCGGATCGATACTATATATATCTTTAAGACTATTCCGTAGAAGTATAGTAGCGACTTCGATTTACTATACCTATTACTAAAGAAGGCCGTTACTAATAGATAAGCTATACCTACGAATATCGATAAGGCGATCGTGTTTATTAATAGCCGGGGAAAGGTTAACAAGCTAACCTATATTCTACGTTAGTAGCTTGTCTAGCTAATAGAGGGCTAAGAAGATCTAACTAAGAAGTATACCTAGAACAATACCGGCTACAATGTGTACAAAGTCGTCGCTTTCTATACCGCATATGTCGCTAATTACGACAAGGATCTCCGATATAACGAGTTTAAGAAGCCTAGCGCTCGTTTATTAACTCGCATTATAGTTAGTACCCTAGCGATCGCTATAGGTACTAACATTAGCGATATTAAGTTCGTTATTATATAGCAACTACCTATTACGAAGGATATCGACGATGCTATATAGCGAGCTAGTCGTGCTAGTCGTAAGCTTAGCGTAGGATAGCGGTTATATACTATCTTCTTCTTTCCTTAGTATATCGACGATATAGCTAAGCGTATTCTAGATAGTGTTAACTATGCCTCTATTATTAATCGAGAAGGTCGACCGGCTAACGCGGACTAATATAAGAATCTCGTATAGGGTGCTATTATATACTAGCCGATCCGACTAAGCGGTCTACGCAATACCGAGATCCCTAGCGAAGATGTTAATAGAGACCTAGATTAGAATAAGGATAACGAGGATACTATTGTCGTTCCGAGAGGCACGGGTATAGGTATAGCTGCTATACTAGAAACCTAGGAAGCAGGTAATACTAATACTAATGCTAATACGCCTAGGCGCAAGAATTAGTCTAAGAATAATATAGAAAAGCGCAACAAGATCCCCGATATCTTCCGCTTATTGTTTAATAGCTAGTATATAGCGACACCTCGATGCCTACGTGCTATCCTTAATAAGCGATACTAGGAAGAGCTCCGACTATAGGATCCTAAGGAGAGCCTAGATTCGAAGGACTACTATAACATTGTCTATAATCGCGATCTAGATTCGGTATTCTAGTAGGATAAACAGGCACTACGCCTACCGAAAGCCCTAGTTACACCGTATAAGGGCTCTAAGCAGTACTTCTTACTACTATATCTATAGAAGTTCTTCGACCGGAAGGCTAATAAAGCTAGCGGCCGGTTTGATACGTACTTCTTTGCTCTTCTATCGAATACCCTTATCGAGGACCGATGTATCTAGGACCTCTATAATGTTATACAGCATCTAGTACTCGGCGATAGTAAAGAGCAGTCTACTAGCATAAATAGGGAGGAAAT